GTGGACGGGGAAGGTTGGCGATGCGTCTGCGTTTCGGGTCTGGGGATCTCAGGCGTTTGTCCGCGACTTGTCTGCGGACAAGCTGTCCCCCCGTACTGTTCCCTGCGTCTTCCTTGGCTTCCCCCCTGACGCGCCTGGTTGGCAGTTTTACCACCCCACCTCGCGCCGTGTTATGTCCTCCCAGGACGTCACCTTTGACGAGTCGGTGCCTCACTACCGTCTCTTCCCCTACCGCGCTGCGCCCCTTCCCCCGCCCCCGCTCTTCCTTGTGCCAGGTCCTCCCCCGGTAGACCCCCTCCCCCCTCAGGGTCCTGCCCCATCAGGTGTGTCCCAGGTAGACGCAGTCGAGCCTGTCGAGGTAGCGGTTGACTCTGGTGCTGCTAGAGGTGCTGAGCCTGCGGGTGATGGGTCTGGAGGTACTGAGCCTGGGGGTGCAGAGTCTGGGGGTGCTGAGCCTGGGGGTGCTGAGTCTGGAGGTGCTGAGCCTGGGGGTGCTGAGTCTGGAGGTGCTGAGCCTGGGGGTGCTGAGCCTGAGGGTGCGGAGCCTGGGGGTGCTGGGTCTGCTCGTGTGGCCTCTCGTGGTGCTTCGGCGAGGCGGGAGCCACTCTCTCCGCAGGAGCTACGCGATTGGTTTGCCCGCCGCTGGAGCCGTGCTGCTGGAGCTGGAGTTTCTACTGTTGCCGCTGGTCTAGGAGGTGCTCGTACTGGTGGTAATGGAGCTGCTGGGACTGGGGGTGCTGCTGGGGCTGCTGGAGTTGGTCCTGCTGGAGGTACTGCTGGAGCTGCTGGCGGTCCTGGAGCTGACGATCCTGCTGGAGGTGGTGCTGCTGGAGCTGGAGCGGCTAGAGCCGGAGCTGCTAGGGGTGTTGGCGCTAGCGGTGCTACTGGCGCTGGTGCTTTTCAGGGTGCTGGAGTTGGCGCTGTTGGAGTTGGAGGTGCTGCTGGTGCTGGTACTGCCGCTGGGGGTACTAGTGCTGTCCTTGCTGGTTCTCGAGGCGCTGCGCGGCCGAGGCCGTACTTTGTTCCCCTTCTTGAGCAGGTTCTTGGTCTCCCGCCCTCTACTGGTGCTGCTCCTCCTTTAGAGTGTCCACAGTCTGTCCAGTCGCAGTCACAGTCACAGCCTGCCTCCCCCCTGCCTACTCCTTCTCCCTACACTGGTCCTACTGGAGGTCTTGTTGAGCATCGTGAGCCTGCGTCTCGTCCTGGGTCGCCTGTTTGTGCTGCTCGCACCAGTCGTCGTGCTCTGCGTCCGCGTCCTCCTACGGTCCCAGGCACACACAAGATGGCACTGCGTCCTTCTACTGCTCCTCTGCGTGTCCTGTTGCTGTCTCCTCAAGAGTCCTCTCTTCCTGTTCTTGCTGACCCTGAGTTTGACTCTCTTCGTGCTGCCATTCGTACTGTCACTGACCCTTCCTTTGAGTCCACTATTGCGTCTGCCTTAGTTGCTGAGCTTGTCGACTTTGCTGCGCGCTGTCGTCTAGACTACGCCGCTAGTCTTGTTGCTGAGTTTGAGTCTGTCTGTCCTCCGTCCGTCGGGGGTGAGTGTACTCTTAGCACCGACGTCCTTGAGGACAGGCAAGAGGATTTCCAGTGTTTTGCTGCTGCTTTGCCTCATCTTGTGTCCACGCTGATTGCCCCTGAGGCGCGTTACGTGGCTCGAGGCTTCAGTCAGCGGAAGGGAGTTGACTACTTTCAGACCTTCTCTCCCACCCCTAAGATGACCATTCTTCAGGTGCTGCTGGTGTTTCTGCTGGCGCTGGTGCGTCTGAGGGTGCTGGAGTTGGCGTTGTTGGAGCTGTAGGTGTTGTTGGCGCTGGTGCTACTGCTGGGGGTACTGGTGCTGTCCCTGCTGGTTCTGGAGGCGCTGCGCGGCCGCGGCCGTACTTCGTTCCGCTCCTTGAGCAGGTTCTTGGTCGCCCGCCCTCTACTGGTCCTGCTCCTCCCTTAGAGTGTCCGCAGCCTGTCCAGTCACAGTCACAGTTCCAGCCCGCCTCCCCCCAACCTGCTCCTCTGCGTGTCCCATTACCGTCTCCTCCAGAGTCCTCTCTTCCTCTTCTTGCTGACCCTGAGTCTGACTCTCTTCGTGCTGCCAGTCCTACTGTCACGCGTCTCATGGCCACTGTTGTCACTGACCCTTCCTTTGAGTCCACTGCTGCGTCTGCCCTAGTTGCTGAGCTTGTCGACTTCGCGGCTCGCTGTCGTCTAGACTACGCTGCCAGTCTTGTTGCTGAGTCTGAGTTTGTCTGTCCTCCGACCATCGGGGGTGAGTGTGCTCTTAGCACGGACGTCCTTGAGGACAGGCACGAGGAGTTCCAGTGCACCTGCCTCCCGGTGTCCCCTTGTAGAGTGACAATGCCACAGCCACGGACATCCTGCAGTGCGCCGTTGAAGCCGCGCGTGTGCTTGACATTGCCGCTCGGCTCCAAGTCAATGAAGGCATCCTTCGTCCCCATCGGGTGGTGCGGCAGCCGATATCGATTAGGACGACCGCCGGGTTCATCTCCACAGCTGCCACCACTGCCTAGAAGACCTCACCGGCCTCCGGCGCCAGCGAGACGGTCAGCTCTATGCGCCAACCAGCGAGCACGATGCCTCCTTGTCGCCTCGCCCCTTGCCGCTAGAGGAAAGGTCGGTGGCCTTCGCCAAGGTCGATTCGGTGAACTGCTTCTCCCTACGTGGCTTGCTACCCCGACGAGTGCGACGCCCGACCGAACTCCCTCGTCCTCCCTTGGTATCGTCGTTGTCACTGGGGTTGGGCCACTCGAAGGAGAGGTGGTCGGGGCTGTGGCATAGCCAACATTCCCGACGTCAACTTCCTCCACCTCGACCGCCATCTCTGACCGACTTCTGCTTGTCGGCGTCCCTAGCCGGCCTCCCACCGCTTCCATCGCCGCCAGACTGCTCGCGCTGCCCTAGTCGACCTCCTTGCTTTGACGGGGCGGAGTAGTCCACCAGCGGCAGGAGCTTCGTGGACCGCTTGGCCTCTTGCATCGCCTCGTCCTTGAGGATGTCCGAGGTCAGAGAGTCCTCGTTGAGCGACGCCCGCATGCCCGACACCACCGACAGCAGCTTCATCAAGTTATAGCTGCTCGTGAGCCCCTTCAGGACGTGCGTGATGTACGACGCCATCATGTACTGCACATTGACCATCCCCATGGTGGCGAGAAGTCGCCGAGCACGGTTGCAGTAGCTAGTCGTCGTCTCCTGCTCGCCCATCCGCAATTGCGTCACCGGCTCCTACAGCTGGCCAATGTACAGGTCGTGGGTGACTTGGTACGTCAACTCGATGAACTGCCATGCCTGGTGGCCGGCGTCCAGGTAGTCCCTGCACGACTTCAAAGCCATCTGTATGCCCGGGGAGCAGCACCGCGAGCTTTCACTCGAAGGTCAACAGCTGCACAACGCGAAACTTTGCACGTAGCTTCGAGGTTGCTCTCCAGTGGCATCGCCATGGTGCCGTCGGCGAAGCACATCAGCCCGGCCATCTCCAGCTAGGGCTTGATGGCCTCCTTCCACGTGAGGATGTTGGGACGGCTGACTAGCAGGGGGGTAACGGAGATCCTGCCAGGCGTGAACTTGAAGTAGCCGTAGGATGGCGCTATCCCTCCCGCAGTCACATGGGTCGCCAACAACGGCGTCACACTGCTTTGTCATCCTCCGATGTTGCCGTGTGAGGACCCTGCAGCTCTTGACAACTGCAGCCCTCGCGCCTGAACGCCGCCGAATTCGTCGGCATGGATTACTCCTCTCTGCCTCGACATGCCTCCTGCACTGCTGCCGACTTGGTCACCCGCGTGGACGCCCTCGTCGACGCCGCCTACAGTGTTTACCGATTGAGGAGCAGCAGGTCCAGAAGGGTGCTCCGCTGCCCACACGGCGCGGATGCCAGCCTTGACGATCGCCCAGGGGAGCGTCTCCCCGTACTCGCGAGCTTAGTGGCATCTCCTCGCATCCTGCAGCCATGCCTCCAGGGTGTCTACAACGCCCGTATCAACTACGGGGTCCACCATGGCGTCTAGCACAGCTGTCGGCCTACAAACAAATCAGGTAAGTGCAAAAGTCGGTTAAACCGAAGGTATCGTTGCTGCCGTGCACGCTGTCAGAACATTATAGCTTATACATTTGTGTAGGCTGTAGTGGGGTAGCCCATAAGGGGTACAACCCAATTAGGGTTAGTACTTGTACCCAACTGTTTCATAGTTCATTCATTCCATTCTCACTTCTCGTCGTGGTATCGAGCAGGTTCCCGAGTGGGAATACTGCCTAGGGCCCACCACGAACTTTATTTTTCCTTCCCTGCCCGTAGCGCGCTTAGCTCCTAACCCGAGTAGCACCTCGAGCCGCCTTAGTGGCCCCTATTGGCCGCCCTTACTGCCCCTCGAGCCACCCTCTACGGCCTCGCTTAGGCCGTTACGGCCCCGCTACAGCCCCGCTTAGGCCCCGTCGACCCCGCTACGGCCCCGCTTAGGCCCCGCTACGGCCCCGTCGGCCCCACTTAGGCCCCGCTACGGCCCCGCTACGGCCCCGTCGGCCCCGCAAAGGCCCCACTACGGCCCTGCTTATGCCCCGCTACGGCCCCGCTTCGGCCCCGCTTAGGCCCCACTGCGGCCCCGCTGCGGCCTCGCTACAGCCCCACTTCGGCCCCGTCGCCACCGCGGCCCCGCCCACCCTTGCGGCCCGCCGCCACCTGCGACCTCGCCACCACCTGCGACCCCGCCTCCCAGTGCCCGCAACGCCGAGCAGCCGAACCGCCGGCCACCTGAGCCGCCCGACCTCCCGAGCCGCCCAGCAGCCGAGCCGCCCGACACCCGAGCCGCCCAGCACCGTGCAGCCGAGCCGCCCAGCAGCCGAGCCGCCCGACAGCCGAGCCGCCCTGCACCAGCAGCCGAGCCGCCCTGCAGCCAAGCCGCCCAGCCGCTGAGCCGCCGAGCAGCCCGATCGCTCCACCTACCTGGTAAGAGCACTGTCTCTACCACTGCACTGCCCTGCCTCCTGCTGTTATGGCTTCCCCTAGCGTTCTCACCTTTAACGCTGAGGGTCGGGCAGTGGACTTTGAGGTCTGGGTAGATGATCTGCAGCTTTTCCTGCAGTGCGATAGGGCAAACGGCCTCTCCCTGTTCGACCTCACTTCTGGTGCCTCCCCTGCCCCTGCTGCTAATGCTGACGCCACTGTTCGGTCACAGTGGGCCACACGTGACGCTGCTGCTCGCCTTGCTGTGCGCCGCCACTTACCGACCACTGAGCGTGCACACTTTAGCCAGTACAAGAGTGCTCAGACCTTGTACGACGCTGTAGTTGCACGCTACTCTTCCCCTGCCACTGCTGCACTTAGCCGCCTCATGCTACCGTACCTCTTCCCTGACCTTGCTGCCTTTCCCACTGTCACTGACCTTGCTGCCTTTCCCACTGTCACTGACCTCATTACGCACCTCCATACTAGTGACACTCGCTACCGCGCTGCGCTTCCTGCTGACTTCTGCGCCAAGAACCCCCGCCCCCATGTACATCACCCTCTACTACATAGTCACCCATCTCCCTGACTCTCTCCGTGTAGTCAGGAACCACTTCCTCTCTGTTTGCCCCACCACTCTCACCGTTGACCTCCTCGAGAAGGCCCTCCTAGCGATAGAGAAGAGCATATTCGCTGTAGGAGCCTCTCGTGGTGACCCTCGCACCCCCGTCTTTGAGGGGTGTTCTCCCTCCCCCCTCTTGCCCTCCGTTGCCTCTGCTGCTGCGGCCGACCTCGTTGGTTTCGAGTCGGTCGGCGCTGCGTCTACCCCGAGCGGGAGACGCCGCACTGGCAAGGGCAAGGGGGGCAAGGGCACTGGAGGAGGTGGAGGGGGCGGTGGAGGTGGTGGTGGAGGCGGTGGAGGGAGTGGGGGTGGTGGTGGGAGTGGTGCTGGGGGTGGCGGCGGCGGCGGCAGCAGTGGAGGCGGTGGAGGTGGCGGAGGGAGCGGAGGCGGCGGAGGTAGTGGAGGAGGCGGAGGTGGAGGAGGAGGCGGACGCGGCGGAGGCGGCGGCGGCGGCGGAGGCGGCGGTGGTGGAGGGAGTCGCGACTCTGCGTCGAGGAGTGGCGCCGGTGGTGGTCAGCGCCAGCAGCAGCAGCGGAGTGGTGTGACCTTGTCCCCTCAGCAGCTTCGTCAGTGGTACACTGCACGCCAGCGCGGTGGGGGTTTTGGTCCCTGCTCTTACGTTCTCCGTACCGGCGACCGCACTGGTGAGCAGTGCGGGGGTCCGCACTCCACCCAGCGCTGCTTTGGTCCCCTGACGGACGCGTGGTGTCGCCAGTTCCCTAAGGCGTCATAGATCCCTCGCTGGGGAGATCTGGCTGAGGCCGGGGTTTCTATCTTTGATCTTGACTTTGATGCTATTCTTGTTGCCATGTATGCTCTTGCTGATAGTGTTGAGGGTGCGTGTTACCTGTGTGTACTGCCTGACCCGGGCATTGAGGCTGCTGCGCTAGGTGCTGGTGAGACTTCTGCTCTAGGTGCTAGTGCGTCTGCTGCCCTAGGTGCCAGTGCGTCTGCCGCCCCAGGTGCTGGTGAGTCTGCTCTCTCAGGTACTACGTCGGCTCAGGCCTTCCACACCTTCACCATGGACTCGGGTGCGTCCCGCTCCTTCTTTCGAGACCGCACCACTCTTACGCCGTTTAGTCGGCCGGTTGCAGTCTCCCTGGCAGACCCCTCTGGGGGTCCTGTCCTTGCTAGCTTCTCCACTGTCCTTCCGTGCCCTGCAGCCCCCTCTGGCACCCTGTCTGGTCTGTACCTCCCCTCGTTCTCTACGAACCTGGTGAGTGGAGCGGACCTACAGGATCGAGGGGTTGACCAGTTCACTCCTGCGAGTCAGCGAGTGAACCACTGCACGTGTGCTCGGACAGGTCGACACTTGGCCATTTCGAGTCGGTCGGCGCTGCGTCTGTCCTGAGCGGGAGATGCCGCACCGGCAAGGGCAAGGGGGGCAAGGGCGCTGGAGGGGCTGGCGGGGGCGGTGGAGGTGGTGGTGGAGGCAGGGATCTATATATATACTTGCATGCTTGCTCTTGTAGGTAGAGAACACTGTGCTGTTGTTGTTACATATATATCTCCGCATGCGAACTGGCCTTGTGGCCTGTTGCATGTTCGCAAACTGCGTGGTGACGTTGCGATCCACCCTGAGCTTGCTTTGCACTTCCCGACTGGTCTTGTGACCCTCTGTTCTCCCCCACTTTGCCTATGGGGGTGTGTCAAACATATTGTTATATGTTATAGTTTGGGTAGGCTTTAGTGGGGTACTCACTTTGGGGTACAACCCCTTAGGTTATATTTTTGTACCAAACTCTCCATAGTTAATTCATCCTTCCCTTTACTCTCGACAGCAACACTCCCAGAACCGGCACCTCCAGTCCCAGGGTCTCCAGCCTCAGTGTCTCCAGCAGCAGCACCCTAAGGCTCAGCACCTCCAGCCCCACCAGCTCCAGTACCTCCATTACGAGCACCTCCGGGACCAGCACCACTCCCAGCTCCAGTGATGTCAGCAGAAGTACCTCCAGCGGCAGAGCCCCGAGCTCCAGAAGCGCGACCGTGACGGCGACTGTACCAGTCGTGCAGCTGCTGTGAGTTGAGAGGCACACGGTGACAAAGGCCACTACTCCAAGGAGACCGCGCAACAGCAGACTCAGAACCCTCAGTGCCAGCACCCGCAGCAGCTCCAGAACCTCCAGCAGAAACAACTCCAGTAGCAGAGTCACCAGCTCCAGCAACTCACGCACCAGGGCACCCAGCAGTGTGACCCTGACGGCCAACGTACCACTCACGCAGCTGCTGTAGGGAGAGAGGGAGTCGACGACGAGAGTGCAGCGGCGAGGTACCAGCGGAGCGACTACGGAGACGGCCGCTCCAGGGAGACTACTCACCAGACGCCTCAGCGCCCCCACGTACAGCACCCCCAGACTCAGTACCCCCACGCTCAGTACCCCCAGGCTCAGCACCCCCAGACTCCTCTTGCTCAGGCTCAGCACCTCCAATCTCCGCACCCCCAGGCTCCGCATCTCCAGGCTCCGCACTCCCAGGCTCAGCACCCCCAGGCTCCGCACCCCCAGGCTTAGCACCCCGAGGAGGACCACCCTTAGCAGCATTTGAGTCACCAGTGACCTCAAGCAGTGCAGTCAAGGGAGGAGGGTCTACCTGAGACACACCTTAAGGAGCAGGACTAGGAGCGGGGAGGGGGTCTACCTGGGGAGCACCTGGAGCGAGGAAGAGCAGCGGGGGGGGGGGGGAGAGGAGTAGTGCGGTAGAGGAAGAGACGGTAAAAGGGAACTGACTCGTCGAACGTGACGTCCTGAGAGGGGAAGACACGGCGCGAGGTGGGGTGGTAAAATTGTCAACCAGGCGTGTCAGGGACAAAGCCAAGGAAGACACAGGGAACAGCGTGGGCAGAGAGCTTGTCTGCGGTGGTATCGCGGACATAGGCACGAGCACCCCAGACCCGGAAACGCGACGCATCGCCAACCTTCCCCGTCCACAGCAGTGTGGGCGAGGTCTTCGGCAAGGAGACACGCGGCCAGAGGTTGAGCTGATGCGCAGCGTACCGGACCGCAAACGACCACAGAAAATGCAGGGCAGCTGCATGGATCATGGAGGTACGAGCGACCTCCATGACTAAGCGAATGCGACGCTCAGCAACCCCATTTTACTGTGGACAGGCCGGAAGTGTTAACGTCTGGCAGATGCCGTGCTCCGCACAGAAGGCTGCGAAGAAGTCGGAGGAAAAATCCCCACCTCTGTCAGAGTTAGACGTAGGACGGGAAACTCCCTCCTGAATGGCTCAGGGAGCTGGAGACAAGCAGCGCGGATCCAAGGGATCAAAACATTAGGGACCTCACCCTTAGTGCGCAAGGGGAAGACCATGGTGTAACGCGTGTAGTCGTTGACAACCAGCAAGAAGTACCGCTCGTGGCCCTGTCCATGGACGCGGGCTGGGCCCCACACATTCAGGTGGAGAGTCTGCAGGGGAGCCTCTATGGGAGGGAACAAGGAGGAGTGAGGAGCGACGCGCTGCCGCCCTTCGACACAGAGAAGACAGGGAGGAGCAGGCGAGGGTGGGAGGGGAGGGAGAACACTGGGAAGACCAGAGACAAGGACACGGCGGTGCATGCTACGAAGGCGCTGCACCGAGGGGTGACCAAGGCGGTGGTGACAAAGCACGACACAAGCAAAGGGCCGCTAGCTGACCTGACGCAGGCGCAGACGCAGCGACCTGAGGGGACACAGTAGTCAGTGTGTACAAACTCGAGCCAGGCGCACGAGTAAACGTGGCCAGGTGCCGGCCCGTCCAAGAGCACGTACTGTGGGTCACGCGCTGCCCTCCAAGAGTAAACTGGTCAACCCACTGGTCCTAGAGGTCAGCACCACTCACCAAGTTTGTAGAGAACAAGGGGAGGTGAAGACCTGACAAGGAGCCAGACGGGACCGCCGGACATGGCGGGACCGTGGAGGAGTGCGCAAGGACTGGACCCCCAGAGGGATCTGCCAGGGAGACAGGAACCGGCCGGCTGAGCGGCGTGAGGGTGGTGCTGTTGCGAAATAAGGAGCGCGAAGCACCTGAGTCAAGTGTGAAGGTGTACAAGGCCTCAGCAGGCGCAGTACCAGAGAGAGCAGACTCACCAGCACCTGGAGCAGCAGCCTCACCAGCACCCAGAGCAAGAGACGCACTAGCACCTAGAGCAACAGCCTCACCAGCACCGAGAGCAGCAGGCTCTATACCTGGGTCAAGCGGTACGCACAGGTAACAGGCACGGTCAGCACTAGTAGGCAATGCATACATGGCAGTGAGAATAGCATCATAGTCAAGAGAAAATATATCTACCCTCTGCCCAAGCAGCTCCACCCAGTCGGGGAACTCAGCCTCGTTGCCAAACTCAGTACGCCAGGCGTCGCTCAGAGTGGTAGTGGGGGTGGAGGTGTTGGTGGCAGCTGTGGAGGCGGAGGAGGCAACGGCGGTGGCGGAGGGAGCGGAGGCGGCGGAGGCGAGGGAGGTGGCGAAGGCGGCGGCGGCAGCAGTGGACCTGGTCGCGCCTCTGCGCAGAGGAGTGGCTCCGATGGTGGTACGCGCCAGCAGCAGCAGAGCAGTCGTGAGACCCTGTCCCCTCAGCAGCTTCGTGAGTGGTACGTTGCGCGTCAGCGCGGTGGGGGTACGGGTCCCTGCACCTACGTTCTCCGCACCGGCGACCACGCTGGTGAGCAGTGCGGGGGCCCGCACTCCACCCAGCGCTACTTCGGCCGCCTGACGGACGCGTGGCGTCACCAGTTCCCTGGGGCCTCTGAGATCCCTCGCTGGGGAGAGCTGTCTAGGGCGGGGGCTGCTATCTTTGATCTTGATTTTGATGCTATTCTTGCTGCCATGTATGCTGTTCATGATAGTGCGGGTGACTGTTACTTGTGTGTACCGCCTGACCCAGGCATTGAGGCTGCTGCTCTAGGTGCTAGTGCGTCTGCTGCCCCAGGTGCTAGTGCGTCTACTGCCCCAGGTGCTGGTGAGTCTGCTCTCTCAGGTACTACGTCGGCTTAGACCTTACACACCTTCACCCTTGAGTCGGGTGCGTCCCGCTCCTTCTTTCGAGACTGCACCACTCTTACGCCGCTCAATCGGCCGGTTGCAGTCTCCCTGGCCGACCCCTCTGGGGGTCTTGTCCTTGCTAGCTTCTCCACTGTCTTACCATGCCCGGCAGCCCCCTCTGGCACCCTATCAGGTCTCTACCTCCCCTTGTTCTCTACGAACTTGGTCAGTGGAGCAGACCTACAGGATAGGGGGGTTGACCAGTTCACTCCTGCGAGTCAGCGGGTGACCCACTGCACGTGTGCTCGAACAGGCCGACACTTGGCCACGTTCACCCGTCGGCCAGGGCCGAGCCTGTACACCCTTACTACTGAGTCTCCTCCGGCTGCTGAGTCTGGCCAGGTAGCTGCTTCAAGTCAGGTGTTTGCTGCAGCGTCCAGGTCTGGTCCTGAATCTGCTCCCTGCTCGTGTCGTCTCCTGTCCCACCAGACTCTCCTTTGGCACCACCGCCTTGGTCACCCCTCCTTGCCTCGTCTCCGAGGCATGGCCTCCCGTGTCCTTGACTCTGGTCTCCCTCGGTCTCTCCCTCCCCTACCTCCGGGGCCTGGCCCTACCTGCATCCTCTGTGTCGAGGGGCGACAGCGCGCCACCCCTCACTCCTCCGAGTTTCCTACGACTGAGGCTCCGCTGCAGATTCTCCACATGGACGTTTGGGGCCCCGCCCGCGTTAGTGGGCAGGGGCACGAGCGGTACTTCCTTCTGGTGGTTGACGACTACTCGCGTTACACCACAGTCTTCCCCTTGCGCAGCAAGGGTGACGTCACTAAGGTGTTGATCGACTGGATCCGCGCAGCTCGTCTCCAGCTCAGAGAGAGTTTCGGCTCGGACTTTCCTGTTCTGCGTCTGCACTCGGACAGAGGCGGGGAGTTTTCCTCTGCCCGTCTCGGAGCCTTCTGTCGTGCACAGGGCATCCGCCAGACCTTCACGCTTCCGGCCTCTACACAGCAAAATGGGATTGCTGAGCACCGCATTGGCATGGTCATGGGCGTCGCTCGTACGTCCATGATGCATGCGGCTGCTTTGACATGAGCTACGAGGCGGAGCGCATGGAGCAGATCGTGGTCTATGAGTTCATGGCCAATGGCGACCTCGACCGCTGGATCAGACCTGGTGAGCTGGGGTTGATCGTTGTTTTTTCACATGATAGATGGATTGAACCAGGTGAGTGGGTACAAGGTTTGTTAAGGATTGGCCCAAGGCAGGTGAATTGGACAGTGTAAGATGGTACAGACTCGAAAAGGTATATTGCGAAATGTTTAGTCGACAAAAAAAAAAGGCTTGGAGGAGTATCTCGTCTTGATTATCCAGTTGTGTTTGCCTTAGTCTAGTCAACCTTCGGGTAAATCCATCAGCCGAAGTAGTGGTTTTTGTGTACTACGTATGCATGGTCTAACCCCTTGTTACATCCTTACTCTCTACATTTACTTTCTAAACGCTCATAAAACTCATTGCGATTCATGGAATCCATTCTATCAACCTAAAGGGCTCGAATGCATTGCAATTCGAGGCTCTTGTTCCATCCATAAACACACCCAGCTGCCCAACTCCCAACTGCCACACCTTCTCCTCCCAGGCGCACCCCACCCGCTCACAATGCAGCAGCGGTTAGCCATCCTGACGAGCATGGCGCGCGGGCTGGAGTATCTGCACGGCTTCAGCATCGTGCATTGCGACATCAAGCCCGCAAACGTCCTGTTGGACGCGCGCATGCACGCCAAGCTCGCTGACTTTGGGCTGGTGCGACTTGGGGAAGGTACATTTGTGGCCGCTACCCGAGTCATGGGCACGCCGGGCTATGTGGACCCCGCTTACTACTGCTCCCACAAGGCCACTCCCAAGGCCGACGTGCATAGGTGTGGATGATGTGTTACTCACGTGTGCATGTGTTATTGGCTTTTTCTCTCTGTTATGCATATACAGCCAGGCATATGCATTAGCAATATCATGCATGGCATTTCACACATCTCCCATACCGAGACCAGCCTGTCTGGCGCTTGGTGGCACAAGATGGTTTAATTATCCTAGTTGCCTTCCTTTTCCTGCTGACTGTTTGATGTTTCTCTTCCCTGCTGCCCGTTCATTGCTGCCATGCTTCCTGTCCTGCCTGCAGCTTTGGAGTGGTGATGCTGGCGGTGATCACGGCTCGCAAGGCCATCTACAACATCGAGTCCAACCAAGTCAGCCTCAAGCAGTGGGTGCGTGTGGAAACAACAACCACCACCATCGCAGCAGCGCCCTCTACCCCTTTTCACAAGATGATTCCTCCTTTCCATATGATATCTCCTTACCTCTTGGCCACAAATCTTCAATCTCCCTTCCTCTCCTCCCTCCCTCGTCTTCCCCGAATCATCACTAACAGGCAGCATCGCTGGTGGGAGCAGGGGACGTGGCGGCCCTCAAGGACCCGCACCTGCAAGCACCGGACAACCTGGTGCTGCGCATGGCACGCTTGACGCTCTCCTGCACCGCCATGCCCACGGCGTCTCGCCC